AATCCTCCACGAAGGCATGCCTCCCCTTAGGCAGATAGCCCTCGTGTGCTTTGCCATAATTAAATAAACCAACACCAAATTTTCGACTTAAAACACGTTTTTAGATACATTCATTATACAATTCGAATTTTCTAATAATTCGTTATAAAATTAGAATTTTCTAATTTTGGCAGAACATTTAATACGTGTCTTAGCAATTTTAACCAGTTTAATACATCTCTGATAATATAATAAATAACAACCATTCATTTCACATTTAAACATTAACCTCATAGTCATCAGATTACAAACTTTTGATTGCCTTACTCTGCATACCAACAATGCTTTTTTTTAAATAGTTAAAACAACTAATTGATCTAAATTCAAAAATACCTGGAATTTACATACTGCAAGGTAACCCAAAATGCAGTTTGCAAAATGTGTTAATATACCGGTAAATGACACTGACATCACCCTATTTTCAAATTCCTAATAAGTTGTTATGACAATATGGCACGTTCATATAGTCACATCTCATTGACCGCATATGGCACTTCCACCGAATTGAAAAATGTTTCTGTATACCATGTTTTACAAATATATGGTTACGGATGAAGGAAAAGTTAATTTATCAGCATATCATTTATTAATTTTAAAAAGGATTACAGGATATGGAAGTAATTACATTTTTCAGTTAAGATAAATAAACCCAAAGTGATTATTTTTCTGTTACATAAAAATAAAATGACGAGTTTAAAATGAGCAACTATTATGCCTCTACTTTCAAAATTAAAAAAAAAAGTGCATATTACAGTATTTTGTGGATGATGAAAAATATATTTTATTTAAAACATTTGGATATTTGGATCATAAAAGAAAATTAGCAAATACACTATCAATGGCATCGAAAAGAAGAATAAAATTTTTACGTTTATATCAGTTACTTATAAGGAAACTGAGCTATTTTTGCGATATTTTGACATTTTAAAGCTTAAGGTATTTATCGTTCTTTACACATAACATACACATTTTGCTAAACTCTATATTTTTGCCGCCCAGAAGCTTAAAATTTTATAAAACAAATTCATAATCAAAATCGCTGTTACAAGTTATCCAAAAGTCACTAAGATGTGATTTTTGTGTGAATGAAACTAAACTATACAAATTGCTGTTACCCATCCAGCAATGAATGCTTCTTTTATGCGGAAATAATCCTGTTTTCGATTTGTGCGGAAACGTCATGGGTGGAAGTACCACCAAAATGCTGTCAACTTGCTCTGGATGTAAACAAAACACATCCGCTTTGGAGACCAAAGCTCGACAGCACTGTGTCAGACGTAGTATGGGGATGGCGTCTCCTTTTATTCTTACCTCCATAATTCGGGTGAGAAGAAGTTAGAAGTGCTGGAGGAAGAGAGAATCGCGAGAAGGATGTTCATGGAGGATCACAATGGGTTACCGGGAAAAAGGGGAAGAATTTTGGGGCGAAAGAGCATGGAAATTTTAACGCAGATGTGTAGGTGTGAAAAAGAAATGTGCAGCACTTTCTGAACATGATCCCTGCCTACATATTTCTAGCTGCCAAGCAGAATGTGAGAGGGATATTCCTAACTGGTATATTCTAAGGGCCAGATGTAACTACCCTTAGAATCAGATGTTAAAATAAACATCGACTCATCAGTAAAGAGAACATGGGACCATTGGTGTTCACTCCTGTTCAGATGTTATTTGTACCAATTGAAGCCCGCCCTCTTTTGTTGTAAAGACATCGAAACATATACCCTTGGCTTTCTGGCATAATCGCTTTCAATAAGTTTTCTGAATAGAGCTTGCCCTGATACAATAGTTCCATTGGCGGCTGCAGACTCTGAACTTAACTGCAGTAGACTGCTTATTACCATGGGTAGCTATTGAGAGATATCGATCTAACAATCGAGAAGAGTTGCTGATCGTTTACAACTTTATCCAGGCCTTTTTAGAAAAGTTCAGAATTCTAAAATTGTTTTCCTAAAGTAGACACTGTCTGTCGCGAAATATTCCACACATCTCACTGCTTCTGTGAATGTTTACCCTGCTTCTAAACGGCCGATGATTCGACACTTCACAGATTCTTCCAAATGATACTTCAGAGTCATAACAAACTATTTTGAGTCCTTATACAAAGAAATGAAACGCTATATTGCAGAAATTCAGATATTCCCTTTAAGCAAAACGCTTGATTCACCGTTAAATGATGTAACGCCTTGATTGCCATATTAGAAACAGTTCGATCATTTTTGATTGGATAATGCTAATTAAGATTGTCTTTCCTACATTACTTGCAAAAATGGATTACATCGATAGGATATTTTATGGAATATCATTATATTTAGTTATGTAAAGATAAATTTGGACATGAGGGTATCTTTAAGTCTCCCCAAAATTTCCGTAATATTCCTAGAAAATTATCAGCTTATAAATGAAATCCATATAATTTCAAGAATCAACTGAATAAGTTTAATGCAGAATGAAGTAATACTTTATAGCAGGTAGCGATATTTTCAGCTTATATTACTTTATTCTAAGTTATAGAATATTATAAATGTGCTATAAATATATTTGTAATGCATAATATTATAAAAATGGGTTAAAACGTTTAAGGTATTTTATACTAAGTAACCAATTTTTGTGATTTCCATCTGTACTATAACTTCTAGTTTCCGTTAGCCCTACCAGTAAGCAAATAATCAAAAAGTGTTTAAAATGAGGGTTTCAAAGGTTTCAGATATAAACTTAATAAGTTTAAAACTCGACTTAGCTATGATGCTGTAATGTTTCTGAGGTTCTTAGCTACCATAGCGTTCTGAGGTACTATGGTCAGATCATTTGCTTCTCAGATGCTTACAGACTGCAACTTCGTAACGTAGCCTTAACTGCTAAAGTTTACTTCTTTTCTTGAGCGGCGGGACGTTTATCTCTCATCGCTCTAAATCTGATTGACACTCATGCAGTGCAAGAGACAATGATCTCCACTTTTTATCTCACTTTCTTAAAAGTTCTTGCAATTTCACCTGCAAGCTCATCAAAGTCATGCATCCTCAGGGGCTTAATTTTCTTATCTAGTTTATTAAGGCTCCTTTTGAGCTCACATGATCAGCTTCATACTCAGTATCCGTATCCAGTTTTAGATATGAGCAGCTTTACGTGCAACCGCCAGATCTGCCACTTAATTGATATTCCGGATTTAACCGTTTGCCAGCCGACGCTAAATCTCGCCCATTAAGTTGAGACAGCTAGTAGGCAAATTTATTAGTCTCCTGTTATGATAAATTTTAAATCGAAAATGCAGTTTTGTTACTTTCCTACCCGTAAGTGGCGGATTTTTGCGGCATGCCTTCTGTTTAAATTCAATAAAAAGGTCATGAGTTTGCCGATTTTCATTCGATGGAGCAATAACTTTTTGTCAGTCTGCACTTGCAGGCGCAATTTCACCTGCAAGCTCATCAAAGTCATGCATCCTCAGGGGCTTAATTTTCTTATCTAGTTTATTAAGGCTCCTTTTGAGCTCACATGATCAGCTTCATACTCAGTATCCGTATCCAGTTTTAGATATGAGCAGCTTTACGTGCAACCGCCAGATCTGCCACTTAATTGATATTCCGGATTTAACCGTTTGCCAGCCGACGCTAAATCTCGCCATTAAAGTTGAGACAGCTAGTTAGGCCAAATTTATGTAGTCTCCTGTTATGATAATTTTAAATCGAAAATGCAGTTTTGTTACTTTCCTACCCGTAAGTGGCGGAGTTTGCGGCATGCCTTCTGTTTAAATTCAATAAAAAGGTTCATGAGTTTGCCGTATTTGCATTCGATGGAGCAATAACTTTTTTGTCAGTCTGCACTTGCAGGCGCAATTTCACCTGCAAGCTCATCAAAGTCATGCATCCTCAGGGGCTTAATTTTCTTATCTAGTTTATTAAGGCTCCTTTTGAGCTCACATGATCAGCTTCATACTCAGTATCCGTATCCAGTTTTAGATATGAGCAGCTTTACGTGCAACCGCCAGATCTGCCACTTAATTGATATTCCGGATTTAACCGTTTGCCAGCCGACGCTAAATCTCGCCATTAAAGTTGAGACAGCTAGTTAGGCCAAATTTATGTAGTCTCCTGTTATGATAATTTTAAATCGAAAATGCAGTTTTGTTACTTTCCTACCCGTAAGTGGCGGAGTTTGCGGCATGCCTTCTGTTTAAATTCAATAAAAAGGTTCATGAGTTTGCCGTATTTGCATTCGATGGAGCAATAACTTTTTTGTCAGTCTGCTAGGGTCTGAAAGACATTTTAGATAACACTACCCACTTAGTACATAATAAAAGATAACCGCAAGCATAAATACAAAAAGTTTCATTTGAATTCCCATTTGTTTTCCGTCCGTCTGTACATTTTAAAATTAATAATAATGTAATAAATTAAATTATTACCGATTTTTAATATTTAACCATTGTATTAACATTAGGTTATAATTAGGTTTTTTATTGATTATAACGTCGGGACTAGATTATCATTAATTTTAGGATTAATATGTTATTAATTAGAAGAGAAGGATAGGATTTTACTAATTTTATTATTAATTATAATTTCAGGACTAAGATATTATTAGTTTTTAATTATTATCTTGAATTTTGATTTCATTATTTAATTTTGGACTGCATTTATTATCTTGAAAAGCGGGATTAAGTCATTATTCCTAACTAATACTAATTTAAATAATAAACGGATTTCCATAACTCATTCTTAAATCGATAATAATTTTAACACACATGTATAACTAGATTTTTATTCATTTTGCTATTAATTTTAGTTAGTTACTAGTTATTCAATTAGTTCCTAAATTATTTGATGAGTTTTCAAGTTATTATTAATTTTAACTGAAACTTATCATTTTGTTAAATTATTTCTTACTAATAAGAATTTTGAAAATACCTTCTATTAGATTTTTATTAATTTTAATACAAAAGTGGAGAAAAACAAACAGAGACTGACTTTGTCACGAATGCTCTGGCGCATTTTCTCTCGTTCCTCCTCCATTCGCTTATGCTTTTCTTTCCTTCGCTCTTCGGCCTCTCGCAAAGCTTCTAGCCTCTCTTGCTCCTCTTCTGCTGCTGCTTCCCTATCCTCTGGCGTTTCTGCTTCTCCTGCCATCTGGCCTGCATGAATACATTTATTTTTAAATTAGCTTCAGACTTTGGAAGAAAATGTTCACCAGAATGTTAAATATGATCACCAGTCTGCTAAACTCTATAAACATCACCAATTAAAATTGTTGATAAATGACGAAACAAATTTTAGTTGTTGCTATTTATAGAATTTTAATTATAAATATATATTAACAATTAAAACTGTTGATGCTTTTAGAAAATGATTATCAGATTGCTAAATTCTATCAGTATCAACAATGAAAACTAAAACCAAACAATTAACACTCTGAGTGGAGTGACCTTTCACAGTCAGTAGCATAGTAAGAAAAGAAGTATCATATCCTAATTTAAAGATGGAAAAAATAAATAATAAAAATCTCTCAAAATAATTTAAAACTTTTTTTTCATGGTAAACAAAACTTCATTTTTTACTACTTTTTAACTTAAAATTAGACAAAATTCACTCTCAAATAGAAGTTGTTCTTCATTGATATGAACTGCTCTTCTTCAAGGAAAAAAAAAAAATCGACGACATTTGAGAGGCATTTTCTCGCTCTTTAACGTGTGCCTTCACTGTGTAATTGGAAGCACGTCCAGCAGTCGTGAGGAATGGAGTTCGAATCCCAGCGAGGGTATAGCTTAGTTTTCCTGCTTCGACAAACTTAATGACTCTACATGTGAAGCACGAACTAAAAAAGTTGGTGGAACTAAAAAGTTCTCGTCACTACTAATATCTGGAGATTGGGTCTCCTTTTTCCAGTCGCACTTCCAGTGGGGAAGAATGTAAGGTATATTCTTCCTCCTTACCACATGCCTTGCAAACATTTTTCTTTTTTACTATTGTTTAATTTAAAATCATTTCTTATGCTCCCTACTTCGACAAAACTAACGATTCTACACATTTTGCCAAAAGTATATATTACTAAGGAATAAATAAACTATTAAAAAAAAGAAAACAGCCCTAATTGTGTTATCTGACGATAGAAATTATACCATTAAAAATATTTCAAATTTAGCCTTTTGAGGAAAAGAAAGTGATTTTGTAATTGAACACATATATTAAAGGTGACAAGGTTTAATAAAGCGGACAGCTATAAGGAAACCGATTCTGGGATTGTTTTGGGGAAACAAAAGATGCAGAAGTATTCAAGAGGTCAAAATTTATTAATGATAGATAAGCGACGAACTTTTCATTTTCTGCCAAAATATACAGGCTATTTTTAATTCGAAATTTTAACGCTTTTGAAGTGTAATTTAGTGCTTTTAGTAAAATTTTAGTAAAATTGAAGTGTAATTTAGTGCTTTTAGTAAATTAGTATTTTAGTGCTTTTTGAAGTGTTAAAACTTAAAAGTTTTGTCAGCTCTTTAGTTTGTAAGTACAAATAAAAATACTCTTCACTTTGTAAGTTTGTCGGTAGCACAAATAAACTTTTATCTGCTTTTTCTGCTGTTGTATTCATTTAGATTTTTTGATCTCTTATTTAAACACGGAAAAATAATTCATGTCTCCGTGAAGGTTAAAAGTTAAAACAAGTGCTTAGATTAGATAAGGTAGGATATAATTTAACACAGTCGGCATTTTTTTCTTTTTGCATACATTATTTTTTAATTGCTTAAAGTTACCGGGTGACTGGCGGGAATTTACATCATGAATGATAATAAACTACCGATACTAATAATGATACTTCACTGTGCAGAGAATTCATATGAAATCTTAAAACTACCTTTATTTTTGCCTGAACACTGGTAGTTCGGTCCGAGGTTCGAATTCTGCGAACGGGCTGGCTGCATGGGCGTTTTCGTGGTTTTTCCCATGTGCAACGTGTATATGAGCCATTTTCCCTTAGAAAGTCCTCCACGAAGGCATCCCTCCCCTTAGGCAGATAGCCCTAGTGTGCTTTGCTGTAATCTCAATAAACCAAACCAAACCAACCTTTATTTTTGCAACGATTATTCGTGGTAAAAGCATAAAAATGTTTTAAAGAAAATAAATATTCATGTTAAGGCATTTTTTAATTTCAAAAACCAGTTTTGTAAAAATACGAAACGTAAATTTTTAATACAATTATATTTAATAAGAATTTATACTCGTTCTAAAAATTAAAACACAAAACGTCTGCATGACAAAAAATTCACCGATCTTTAATTTTAAAATTTGAGACAATTTCTTCCTGAAAATTCAAGAATCACACATAACTTGAACAGCGAAATATTAAAATTTACACGTACCTAAAACTGAAATAGGAGTTTAAAAGAAAGGTTTCTGACGTCAACATTGTCTGCATAAATTAAATTTTATAAATGTGTTTAATTCATTGAATGCTTTTGTATACTGTTAGGTCTACTTCCAGCATTGTGAGCTGTAACAACGTACTTTTAGAGCTCCCGCACCAAAAACCACTGGAATAGCATCGGGTATCGTATTTAGTACCACTTCGTGTTGGGTATCGTATTTAATACCATTAGATATGCATCCACATCAGGATTAAGCGGATATAAGATTCATAACATTTAGTTATTTATTTAAGTTTTAATGGGTTTCAAACTAGTTTCTGCATTTTGCAACAATAGATGATAAGCAGAAGAAAGTTTTGTCTTTCTTCTCGTCAAAGGCCCACCAGCAGCCAAGCGGTAAAGTCGCTAAACACTGGTGGTTCGGTCCGAGGTTCGAACCCCGCGAACGGGCTGGCTGCATGGGTGTTTTCGTGGTTTTCCCCATGTGTAACGGGTATACGAGCCCGTTTCCCTTAGAAAGTCCTCCACGAAGGCATTCCTCCCCTTAGGCGAGATAGCCCTCGAGGCTTTGCCGTAATTAAATAACCTAACCTTCTCGTCAAAGAGACACGAAGCATCTTCATTTCTGTCTTAAAATCCTGTCAATCATTAGCCGTGGCCTAGCAGCGGCCGAGCGGTAAAAGACGCTGAATGCTAGTATTTTGGTCCGCGGTAGTTTTTTAAATTTATTTTTACTGTATACTAATGCAAAATTTCTTTTCCTAACCATACACATGGGGAACAGATATAGTATTAAAATTTTCAAATTTTATCTAAAGAAATAGGAAAATCAATTTCTTTGAAATTTAATACATTCTCATATTCTTTGAAACTCTTTCACAATCTCTGTGATGATTGCAGATAATCTCCGGATGAATTTCAGATAAAATAGATCACATGAAACATTTATTATCATTATTTTACATTTATAATTACTTTTTTATTTCTTAATTCTTTAGGTAATTCTATAACTTGAGCCATTTAAAGTATCATATTTATTGCCAATTCTAGAAATTTTATTGCGCATAATTTCCATCCTGATCCTTCTTATATGCAGTACCTAATAACTTGCCAGCACAAGTACCGTAAATATCATGTAAATCTGAATACTTTATTACAACATAGCTTTTTGCTTTAAATGAAAATTCTTTAAGTTCTTCATTAGAATCATTAAAATTATTTTATAATGGAAAAAAAAAAAAAAAACAGATTAAAATTTATTCTTAAATGTTTTTCTTATTTAAAGCTTCTTTTATTAAATTTTTAGCAATTTCATTTCTTCTAATATATAAAAATTCTTTAATTTCTTTAATATCATATTCATTTATAATCCAGTATGTTTTTAATCTACACTTATAACCCGATCCTATTTCGACTACTGACTTTCTTAAATGATGATGTTTATAAGATTCTTAATACACTGACTACCAATAAGTATTTGGACACCTATGCAAATGACGATATCTGCGGTCCTAAGGTACGTCACGGACTCCGTCGGTATATATCGTGTAGGAAACAGCATCGGCTTTAGTCGCATGCAAGATGCCTCGCAATTCGGAGCCCTCTGATTTCGAGAAAGGTATAATTATCGGGTATCACAAATGTGGCCGATCCTTAAGGGACATATATAGCGATCTGAAGTACCCAAAATCGACAGTGGCCTATGTGATTAAGTGGAAGGTGAGCGGTGATTGTCGGAATGTGCCCCGGAGTCGGCAGACCAACGAAACTGGGAGATAGAGACCGACGAGTGCTGTCCAGAGAAATTCGGAAGAACCGCACCCAACAGATGGCCCTCATCCGCGAGGAGTTTCAATAGGCATCCGGGAGTGTTCTTTCAATGAATACCATCCGTAAGGAAGCCCATCTGCTTGGTTTTCATGGCCATTCTGCTGCCCATAAGCCTTTGATCACAAAGTCCAACCGCGCTGCTCGGTTAATGTGGTACAAAGCACATCGAAATTGGAACGTAGATCAGTGGAAATGGGTTCCTTGGAGTGACGAATCAAGGTTCACCCTTTACCGTTCGGATGGCAGGGTCTGGGTCTGGCGTCTACCCGGAGAACGTCTCCTGCCAGAATGCATTGTGCCAACAGTCAAGTTCGGCAGAGGTGGAATTATGGTCTGGGGGTGTTTCTCCCGGTATGGGCTGGGAGCCTTGGTCCCCATTCATGGTAAGCTCAACTCCGATGCCTACTGCACTATTTTGGATGACAATGTGCTTCCTACGTTGTGGCAGTTTTACGGGTTGGACCCCTGTTACTTTCAGGACGACAATGCCAGTTGTCATGTTTCGACGTTAACCAAGGCTTGGTATGGTGCCAATGGAGTTCATCGAATGGACTGGCCTTCCCAGAATCCAGACCTGAACCCTATCGAGAACCTCTGGGACGAATTGCGTCGCTGAATTCAGGGGTGCACTACCCGTGCAAAATCGGTGAAGGAACTTCTATGTCTTCTCCAAGCCGAGTGGAAGAAAATACCACTAGCTGTCATACAAAGACTTGTGGAAAGTATGTCCCGGAGTGTCCACGCTGTAATTACCTCTCGTGGAGGCTCTACCAACTATTGATTTTGAATAAAGTTAGTTTTTCTTTTGTAACACAGGTGTCCAAATACTTATTGGTAGTCAGTGTAATATCTACCACAAATATTGCATTTTATTTACAACTTTCTAGGCTTTCTTGGTTTTGAAAATAAATCTTTATCGAAAGGAAACAAATTAAAAAATTGTG